ATTTATTAACATATATTGAGCTCCTGCTACATGGAAAAAAAAAAAAAAAAAAACACCTTAACAGGAATTATTTCATTTAAGCCTCATAAAAATCTCATGTAAAAGGTACTCTTCTTTTCCCTATTTTACAACTAAAAATGCTACAGCAGTGAAGCAATAAGCCGTGTGCTCAGCATCATAACCATGACTTGACCACTGGTAGCACATGCTGTTCACTCCTCTGTGATGGCAGTTTTTATATAAGGACATAATAACACACAGTGTAAGCTGCTTCCTTTTGGGAATCACTACATTGGTTTAGGCCTTCAGTATTTCTCAGTGATATTAATTTAGCACATCCATGGTTTCTTTATCCCAATCTTTCACTCCTTCCATATTCCTCATCTCCAGTAGAATAAATAGCCTTTTAGAACAAATATGATTAGCTGCAAGCTTAAATGTGGCTAATTGGATCACTTCATAACTTACAGATAAATTTCAAATTCCTAGATACTCTCAATAGTTCTCTTTCTTCTTCTGTTTCATCTCTTCTTTACTCCCTGACCAAACATATACAAATACCTACATTTCTCCCATGTTCTTTCAGGATATTTCCTCTAATTGAGACACATTCTCTGACTCTGTTTATCTCTTCTTGAATTGACCACTTCTGCCTTCCTGGCTACTTTTCATTACCCGTCAGAGCTCAGTTCAGGAGTCACCTCCTTCAATAAGGCAATTCCTGTCAATCACTCTCTATTCCTCATACAATATTTATCATATCACAGTTCCTTACTTTGCTTCAACTATGGACCTAGAACATCTCAAAGGCAGGGACAATAGCTTTCAATTCTGTATGTCCACTCCTCTGACATAGCATGTACTCATAAATTGGTTGGAATAAAGAAAAAGAAACAAAACAACTTATGGGTTTGGGGTATATACTATAAGTATATGACTTCAATTATTAATACTTTCCTTTTTTATTTTAAATGTTATTCAACCTGCACAAAATCAAGAACTAAGAATTTATTCCACTATTCAATAAATGTAAGATTTGGCCAACAAATGAATAGTCAAGGTCTATCCCCATGTCCTACCAACCCCAATTTCCAATGGGTGTAATTAATAATAGGTTCAAAGTCTTTTGGCATGCTTCTTTAGAAATCTTAAAGAAAAATAAATATGCTAAAGTTTAATGAAGTTAAGTAAACTAAAGAGAAGGTTGTAGTATAGTTGTGTTATTTTAAAGTTAATATGATATTAATGTGTATAACAAATGGTACCTGATGACATAAAAATGCAAAGAAAACAATAGAGAAAAATACAACACAATCCTGTTTTCCTTAGAATTTCACAAATCATTTTTGGAATACCATACACAGTTAGGGTTGCTCTACTTTAAGAGGATATATAAAAATTGTAGTGATGGTTAAAAAATAATGAGATAGAAGTAAGATTGTTTATTACAAAGAAGCCTGAAGAGTAATTAAATTGCATTCAAGTGTTTGTAAATTTATTTTATAGTGTTAAATTCTTATTTTCTGTTCCAAGAAATAAGATTTTTCTTTCTCCTTTGCAAAAACTGAATAACTCTAAAAAGAAGAGAAACTTACTGTACATAATTTCTGCAACAAAAGAGAATTATTAGACTTCCCTACCACCCTTCATGCCATCTACCCCATCTTTAGAAAAATGCAATAGTACTCAACTTCAAAATTTATTATAAAGTTACATTGATCATAACAGTGTAGTATCAGTGAAAGAATAGAAAAATAGGTCAATGAAACAGAATAAAATGCCCAGAAATAGACCAACACAAATAGTCAACTGATCTTTGACAATGGAGCAAGGCAATTCTATGGAGAAAGGACAGTCATTTTAAAGAAACAGTGGACATGCACATTTAAAAAAAAAAAAAAAAAGAAGAGAATCTTGATACTGACCTAAACTTTTTACAAAAAAAAAAAAAAATGAAATCGAAGTAGATCATAAAGCTAAATGCCTTAGACAATGGTCCTACAAGTTTATGTGAATGATCAGAATTCCCAGGAGTATAGTAGAGCTGAAAAGGGGCAAGGTTGTGGTCACTGCTTGGTCACAGACAGCTACCCAGAGAGACTGAGTAGTTGAACCTGTGGGCTTGGGACCATAGTCACAGGGGTCATCAAGCTCAATTGGCATAACATACTACACAAAATATTGTTCCACCTCCTACCTTGGCAAGTAGTGACTGGGATCTTAAAAGCTATCAAGCTCCCATCTAGATGCAACTATGGGTCTCTCCTCAGCCAGAACAAAGAAAAATGAAGAAAACCAAAATTCATGGAAACAATTAGTCCTAGCAACTGGTACACCATCTGATCAGCAGACTATATGACTATGAGACCAGAAGAACTACATGGTGCCCAGCTACCACTGTCATCCACTTGAAAGCGGGTCTATGTAGGAGATCCTTGATAGAGAGGGAGAACAATGTGGAACAAAACTCAAAATCATTTGGAGAAAAAAAAAAGGGGTGGGGGGTGGGGACCAGGTTTGCTAGTCCAACAGAGCTGGGTGGAACCACTGATACTATAGCCCCTAGCTGCCCTTCAGATCTGGAATTGAACTCATACCTGTGGTTTCCAGCCAAACAAAAGACTGGCATATGAGTTGAACATTTACCTGAGGTAGATACATTCCTTGGAGAGAACAATCATGGGAGAAAGAAGGGCTGCTTATGCACAGGGAGACAGCTCAGGGAGCAGGAGTCCATGGAGGGATGGACACTGGGAAGAGGTAACTGTGGGGAGGAGGTGGGAGGGGAGCTGTTGCATTGTGCTAAACTGTGGTCAATGTCATGAGACAAAGTGTATATGTAGTACTGTATGGAAAGTGAATTTGCTCTGTAAATCTTCACCCAAATCACAATAAAATAATAATAATAAAAAAGCTAAATACCTTAAATCCAAAGTGAAAAGTTATAAAACTTCTAAAAGCTAGCATAAATGGAAATCTAATTGGCTTTGGGTTGAGTAATGACTCCTTTTGATATACCACTAAAAGAATAATCAATATTGATAGTTTAGCCTTCATTAAAATTAAAAATTTTTACTCTGTGAAGGATACTGTTAAAGAATGAAAAGGACAAGGCATTAACTGGAAGAAAATCTTTCCAAAACTTACATTATAATTAAACATGAAGAACTTGTATCCAAAGTGTACAAAGAACTCTTGACACTTAACAATAATAAAACAACGAACTGGATTAAAAGATGGAAAAAGATATCAACAGATACCTCACCCACCAAAGAAGACAAGGTAATGAAAAATAAGCAAATGAACAGATGCTCAGTATGATATGTCATTAGAGATTTACATTAAAACAACAATAAGATACCACTACACATTTACTGTTGTTGTTGTTATGTGCCATGGAGTCAGACCCAACTCTTAGAGATCCCTCCTTGGGTTTCCGAGGCAGTATCACTACGGAAGTAGACTGCCCAACCTCCCTTTCAAGTAGTGGCTGGTGGGTTTGAACCACCAGCTTTCTGGTTAGCAGTCAAGCGCCTTAGGCACACCTACTAAAATGGCTAAAATCCAAAAGAGTGGTAATATCAAATGCTTGTGAGGATGGTGAGCAATAGGAAATTTCATTCAATGCTGGTGCAGATGCAAAGTAGTGTAGCCACTTTGGAAGACAGTCTGACACTTTTTTTACAAAGCTAAAGACAGTCTTACCATATGATTGAGCAATTGTACATGTTTACTCAAATGTGCTAAAATCTTATATCCACATAAAAACTTGTACATACATGTTTATGCCAACTTTATTCATGATTTCCCAAAGTTGGAAGTAAACAGGATGTCTTTCACTAGGTGAATAAACAGTGGTACATCAATACAAAAAAATATTATTCCATGATAAAAAGACATGCAGTATCAAGCCACAAAACAAAATTGAAGACCCTCAAAGGCACACTGCTAAGTGAAAGAAGCCAGTCTTAGAACGGTGTACACTGTTTGATTCCAACTATATTACATGTTGGAAAAGGCAAAACCATCTTGACAGTAAAAAGATAAGAGACTACTAGCTAGAGGCTTGGGGTGGGGCACAGTAAAGAATAGGTGGAACACAGGGCATTTTGATGGCAGGGAAACGATTCTGTGTAATACTACAATGGTAGACATATGACATTATGTATTTGTCAAAACCCAAAGGACTACAACACAAAGAGTGAACCCTAATATACTATGGATTTCCGTTAACGCTATCTACTACTGACAAGTGGATTGTGACTCATAGAGACCCTGTAGGACAGGGGAGAACTGCTCCACAGGGTTTTCAAGGCTGTGATATTTACAGAAGCAGACCACCATATCTTTCTCCCATGGAGGGGCTGGTGGGTTCAAACTGCTGACCTTTGGGTTAGTAGCCTAGCACTTAACAACTATGCCACCAGGACTGCATTAAGTTAATAATAATGTATCAATATTGGTTCATCAATTGTAACAGATATGTCATGTGTACAAGTTGCTAACTAAGGTAAACTGTGAATGGGAGAACTCTGTATTTTCTGTAACCAAAAACTATTAAATGGTTCTGGAAAATGAAGTCTATTTTAAAAATGAGACAATAAAATGTTGATTATTAAAGACATTGGTTCTTTCTGGAAACAAATAACAATTTATTGTTGGTCAGATGGGGTTAAAGTAAGTCAAACCAGAGTTCCATTTTTATCGTTTAATAGATAGCAATGAGGAGCTCTGGTAGCGTAGTACTAAGGCACTTGACTGCTAACCAGAAGGCTGGCGGTTCAAACCCACCAGCCACTCCTCGGAAGGAAGATAGGGTAATCTACTTCCGCAGTGATATTGCCTCAGAAACCCATGGGGGGTTGCTGTGAGTCAGTCCGACTCGACGGCACATAACAACAACAATAGATAGCAATGAAAATACAAACTATCATCATTCAGCAACTTGAGAAAGAGAAAAACCTTATGTATTTATTTGTTTTTAAAAGGAAACATCCTACCATTACTTGTATTTGTTGTGTGGTCAACAATGGGAAGATGGTGCTCTCTAGCCATCGATCCTTTCACTAGTTCCCACCGCAGGTCTTCTGTAAGTAAATGTTTCCAGCCACAGAAACCAGTCTCGAAGTCACACATAAGAGGATTTTCTGCTGTTGTACATGAAAAAAAAAAAAAAAAATGGTAAGGTGAATTGCAGTAAAACCTGGTCTCAAAATTCGTCAACAAAACTTAGGTGGTAAGAATTATCATGTCCACTCATTTTTTTTTAGAAAGTATTATTTATTGAATGTAATTCATGAAATACTGTTTTTATTCATCTTTGACATATACTTGGATTTTTGATACATTTCCCTAAAGCACTTTTGACATGCGAGGATACTTTGATGCCTTTATAGAATTGATTATTAAGGTTACAGATACAGCATTTTAGAACACTTAACTGGCAATCCTAGCTTTTTTACTGAAATACAGTTCTGGAAAATATTTGGAAAGCAGAACAAGAACAAACTGTCCATTTTACCTGTGACCTATTTCACTTAACAGCAAAACCTCAGTTACTCATTTTTGCCACCAGATGGTACTTCTCTAAAGACTGAACCCCTAACTTCTGCTGTTCCTGCTGGATGTTCATTCCCTTCAGTGAGCACTGATAGGATAAGCAAGCAGACTTAGGGGAAGTGGATGAGGAAGACAAGATCCCAGGAGGAGGCAGATACATGCTTGTTGAAATAGTTGTAATATTTTAGAGATGGATTGCAATAACAGGGAACAAATGAAAGAAATGCAAGATATTTTTAGAGACCATCTAACAAAGAGAAGGAGAAATGCAAAATGACACAATTTGGAAACTGCTTATATGTGGTCTGCAAGATTTAAACATATTCGTATTTTTTTGTGTTTGTTTTTGCATTGTTAAAAAACAAAGTTTGTATGATAGTTTTGATGATGAAAGGTATAAATTCTGCTAGTGATTTTTCAAGAGAGTGAGAATGACCACTAAAATGCTGATAATTTTAGTGATCTCTTTTTTAAGTGTTGAGAAGGGAAAGGATTACAAATTATGTAATATATTTTGTATATTGTGCAAAAATAAGCCTGTGAATCCATTTCAGACCAACAACTTGAGTTTCATTTAATTCAGTATGTAACAACTATTAATGACTTCTGTTTAAAACAAAGATTCTGCAAATTGTTTGCTGCTCATTTTTTAATGGTTCAACACGTTAAATCACGCAAACCTCATGAATCAAAATATAACTTGAGAATGGGGCATCATCAGTGCTTACAGAACTTTTGGAATCCTAGAACTCAAAGTTAGAAAGTTGTACAGTTCCAGGTTGGATAGTCTACCTTTGTGCATTGCAGAAAGACTCTCTATGGTGTCCTAGGGGAATGTGCAAACCATCACTGGCAAGTGCTAGAGCCTGGGGATGAAAGGGTCAAGGTCTGTCACAGGACAGGCTGGATGGGAGGATGGGTGGAGTCTTGAAGGCTTCAGTCAGATAAAAGGCCTTTGAAAACTACCCAAGGGGTATGCCTTTGAAACAGTGGTATTACTGTGTTCCTTCTGCATCTTTAGTCATCACCAAAAATAGCCTGTTTTGCTTTTTTTCTTCTAATTGTTTTGTCAACTGCTTTTTTCTTTTATTTTACATAACAATAGACTCTTTAGTTTGATTTTTACTTTCCAGCTTTTTTTTTTCACTACTGCCTTTTCCCTATCTTTTTCACTCTCTGATACTTACATACAACCAGTGTTTCTGTTTTCTCATATTTCAGCCTGAATATGTAGTGTAGTGCCTAAGGCACTTGACTGCTATCCAGAAGGCTGGCGGTTCAAACCCACCAGCCACTCCTTGGAAGGAAGGTTGGGCAATCTACTTCCATAGTGATTCTGCCTCAGAAACCCATGGAGGGGTCACTGTGAGTCGGGTCTGACTCAATGGCACATAACAACAACATGTACATGGCTTACATTTTGCCTAATTGTTTTCCATTCCCTGAAGAATTTTTTCTGTGGTTTTTCAGTGATTTCTTACCTTAAATATATGTTTGTATATAGTATATATAATTTTGTTTTGCACATTAATACCTTAAAACCTTAAACCTTAAAACATAAGATTATTCTTACCCAGATGGTTTAGGATCAAATCTACTAGCTAATGTATAAAACTCTCCAACTTAAAAAAAAAAAAAAAAAAAAGAACAGGTCAATGTAAGATTTTAATTTATATCCCCTTAAGAAAAAGTATTTTTTAACCACATCCCTCTCTTCACTACTGCAAAGTAATACGAATGGTGACTATATCCTTTGTTGTTAATGTTATGTTAGTTTGCTGCACAATAATGAATATGTAATGATTGCAGCATTGAGTATGGAAACAAATATCTTTCTGAATGTGCAGATTAATTTCATTTCTAGTATTGCATGAGAGGCACACTAAAAATAGACCACTCTTGCATGTTATAGGTTATCTTTGCAGTTTATATTCATGTACCTGACTTTCAATGTCTTTCAAATTATGGGAGAATTGACCTTGCATGAGAAAAAAGTTAAAAAGTTGCATAGTATATTTTCATTTACCCCATACATTCATTCATTTCAACAAGCAGAGTCCAGTGACAGACCATAGACCATCAAAAATACAAAACTTGGAAAATATGGCCCTTACCGTTTTTCTTTTTTAATTGTGATTTGGGTGAAAATTTACAGAGCAAATTCACTTTCCATACAGCGGTTCACATACACTTTGTCTCATGACATTGACTACAATTTACCACAATGCAACAGTTCCCCTCCCACTTCCTCCCAATAGTTACCTCTTCCCTGTATCCATCCCTCCATGCACTCCTGCCCCCTGAGCTGTTTCCCTGTGCATAAACAGCCCTTCTTTCTCCCGTGATTGTTCTCTTCAAGGAGTGTATCTACCTCAGGTAAATGTTCAACTCATATGCCTGTCTTTTATTTGGCTGGAAGCCACAGGTATGGGTTCAATTCCAGACCTGAAGGGCAGCTAGGAGCCATAGTCTCGGGTTCTACCAGGCTCTATCAGACCAGCAAACCTGGTCCTCCCACCTTTTATTTTTTTCCAAATGATTTTGAGTTTTGTTCCACATTGTTCTCCCTCTCCATCCAGGATCTCTTACATAGATCCCCCTCTGAGTGTTTGACAGTGGTAGCCGGGCATCATCTAGTTCTTCTGGTCTCATAGTCATAGAGGCTGCTGATCACATGGTGTACCAGTTGCTAGGACTAATTCTTTCCATGAATCTTAGGTTTTCTTACATCTCCCTTCATAATGAATTTCTTCTAATTATCAGAAGAAGCAGCCCTGGTCGCATACCAGTTAAACACTCTGTTGGTAACTGAAAGATTGGCAATTCGAACCCACCAGCTTGGCTTCTTCCAACCTCACTGAAGTGTTCCACATGCTGTGTGAGGCCTCCGCCTTTTGCAGTCTATCTAGAAGTCTGGCACATATTATCCTCATTAACCAAATCTCTGTTGTATTTAATGATGCAAGGTGAAACTTTAGAGCTTCTCAGAGTGTAGCTGATTCACCTGCTAAGTTTAAACTTGCTGAGATAGTACCAAAAAAAAAAAAAAAAAGAGTTTGAAGGGGGAGAATTAAATTTTATTCTGGCTACTAGAAGAGCTCGAGTTTAACACACCAATATTCACTCCATTTTGCTATTTTAACTTTCTCTAAAGAAAATGCATAGCCATTTTAGAGTTGCAGTTAAATTAGATATTCTGAGCTTTGCTTTTCTCTTATAAATGATTCTTTTAATACATAAAAGAAAGGAATATTAAAAAGTTGGCAAATACTTCAGTTCCTACATTTATCATAAAAGAATTAGTTTTAGAGAAAATTGGGATTTGAGGTAAGCTCCTTTCCCAGCTTAGGCACCAAATTTGTCAGAAAAATAGTAGGTTTCAAAGAACTGGGGAGTAAACTAGAAATTCTGACAATTTGATTTTTGCTTTTGAGAAGTTACATTTTATGTGCCTCAATTTCCTCATTTCTAAAGTAAGAATCATCACATCAGTCTGTCTTGACAGTAGATTTGAGGATAATTTGATATAATTATGTTAAAACATATTTCCAAATATTCCTATTAATGCAGATATATTTTTATAACAGTGGGAGTAGAAGGAATCAAATTAATTTTTGTTCAGAAAACATCCAACATTTTGACAAGCTCCCTAAAATCATAATGCTATTATTGTTTGTAACAATTACAACATATATGTTACCACTGAGTTCCAAGTATGTGTCAAATATTTTACACACATTACTGCTGGTCCTCATAATTACTCTACATGCAAGCATAATTATCACCATTATATAAAAGAGAAAAATTGAACCCAGAGAACTAAGCAACTTGTTTATATTAAGTTTAGCACTTTTTGATTCCTAGGCATAGTGCCTAAGGCACTTGACTGCTCACCAGAAGGCTGGCGGTTCAAACCCACCAGCCACTCCTCGAAAGGAAGGTTGAGCAATCCTACTTCCGTAGTGATACTGCCTCGGAAACCCAAAGAGGGGTCACTATGAGTCAGGGCCGACTTGACGGCAAACAACAACAACAACAACAAGGCTTGGACTATGAAAACCAGGAACTCTATCTCATAATTTAGAAGACACCATCATCGTATGCTTGCTCTTAAAAATTGTTTTCAATTTTGAGTAATATCATGAATTTAGGACAGCATGTTGAATATGCTCACCTTAACTTAATAATTGAAGGATTTTCAAATCTCCATACACAAGGATGCCTAGTCTCATGATCAGAAATCTTATCAGTAATAGGCCAACTCTTAAAATATTAAATATCAGTATGTGAATGGAAATGCCACTTAAGTTTCCTGTACATGTTAGTTAAATGTTTTGAACTTTTAGTTAGGCTTGCTTAGACAGCAATACAATTAATATAAGATTAAACATTTTCATATTTTTTATGTTGTTGTTGTTGTTGTTGTTATATGCCGTCGAGTTGGCCCCAACTCATAGCGACCCTCTCCTTGGGTTTCTGAGGCAGTATCACTATGGAAGTAGGATTGCCCAACCTTCCTTCCAAGGAGTGGCTGGTGGGTTTGAACCGCCAGCCTTCTGGTTAGCAGTCAAGTGCCTTAGGCACTATGCTACCAGAGCTCCTATATTTTTTATAAGAAAATATTATTTCTCACTTAAGCAGATTTCCTCCTCCCCCAAAAAATTAATTGACTATATGATAATAATCAAAAAGACCTTCCAGGATATTAAGTGCACACCAATGTGACAGAAGTGCTGATCTTCAATGTATCTACTGAAATGTAATGCTCCTGTATGATGTTCTTTCCTCAGCTCTGGCTACAAAGTTTACAAGTTACTACTATGCATCAAATGTTACTTCTTAAAGAAGAGACTGTTTCTCTTTTGACATTCTTCAACACTTGTGACCTAGCTATTGCTGAGCATTAAGAATACCTTCTGGTCATGTTCTTGAATTTCTGTGAGCTGTGTCACTTACTAGACCATTTTACAGCTCTTCTAAGTCAGTTAGTAGACTGTAGAAATAGGAAAGACTCTGAAAACATACTTCACCTCCAAAATGTACTTAAAAGTTCCAAAATCTTGGCTGTGAACTTGGCCAAGGAACCATTCCCTCTCACCATGTTTACTACCAGTTCCTAAAGACATACTTCCCTAGAGAAGAAAATCTCCTGTGGGTAGGATGACCAAACGTCTGGGTTTGCCTAAGATTGCTGCAGTTTATGTGTATTGTCTGAGCATAGCAATTCATAGCTTCCCTTCCCCAGTGTCTCCGTCCAAGAAATGCATTATATATTGCTACCCAAAGGAAGCAAGTCCATGCAAACAATCTTAACACTGCTATGACTACTGAAGTTAAATATCCTAATTCCACAATAAGGCAATGGTGTTAATTGCAATAAGATCAATGAATATAGAAATGGAGACTTAAAAGTGATAAAAAAAAAAAAAAAAAAACTCGCTGTCATCAAGTTGATTATGACTCATAGCAACCCTATAGGACAGAGTAGACCTGCCCCCATAGAGTTTCCAAGGCTATACATCTTTATGGAAGCAGAATGTCACATCTTTCTCTCACAAAGTGGTTGTGGGTTTGAACCGTTGACCTTTTGGTTAGCAGCCAAATTGCTTAACCACAGCACCATCAAAGCTCTTTTAAAAATGACCCAGGTATCACCAAATCCTTGTAAAGAGTTTTCACAATTACATCTGTGTCATAAACCACAAATCAAACTAATTTTGATTGCATTAGTGTTGAAATTTGGATTTAGAACAAACATTTAAAACTTTTATTACTTGGATGTTTTGTCAGTTCAAATGTCAATCATTGCACATTTCATAGACCACTAAACACCATTTTCTTCTGAAAACTAAAATTAGCCTTTAAAATCCATCACAATAAAGATATGTGAAAATAAGATGGTACAGTCACCTCTGTGAAAATCTTACTGAATTGCTAAGGTGTTCCAGTACACTTAAAAGGACTTTTTAAAGCTAAGTATTCTAGGAGATAACTGCAGTGTAAAATATAAGTCAAATTCTAGTCACCTAAGTTTCTTCCATGAATATTTCTCTTGCATAATTCAAAAAGTTTAAGGTGAAGTTATAAATATCTGAAGAAGAGGAGAGTAAAATGCACTCTGGCAACTAATAAAATGCCTTTTCATTTCATTTACATTAAATGCTGAATGTTTACAAAATCTAAAAAATCACCTATTCATGCTGTAAAATGTGCAATTATTATAAACAGTGATTTTAATTATTGGTAGTTTTTGTTTTAATCTTCTGTGATTATAGTACTCACTTCAACATCTCTGATAGAAGTATGAGATATGACATGTTCATAATTTTAGAGAAATTGCACTACGAGTTCATCAGTTAGAGGAATATTTTTAGATTATGCCAAAGCTTTCTCTTGCATATCTAACCATCATAGCATACTGCAGAAGAAAAAGAATTACACTGTAGCAGCTGAAGAAAATTCATCTGGATCATGAAAATTAAAATATTTATGAGTCATCCTGTTCGTAAGTGAATCAGTTCTCTACGATATAAGTAAAAAGTATGTGTGGGAAATGAATGGGGGTTGTTTCATTCGTGAGCACATTTAGATTACAAACATTTGATAATATTCATTAAGAAACCACAAAAATCTTTGCTATACTGAACATATTTATGAGTATTACCCTTGACTTCAGGAAGCATTTCAGTATTCAACATTTTTTTTTTTTTTTGAAATAGAAAAGGTATCCAGAAACAGTATCATAGAAATATTAAATGCATTATATAGAATCTTTGGTTTAAGTCTCTTACATTAAATATTGTATCAACTTTTCCTTTCAAGATTCACAGTTTGTATTAGCTTTTTAAATGACCTAAAAAAATCCTACAAGAAAAAAGTCTAAATTTTTTCCCAAAAAACTTCCAAACTCTTTTTGATTTAACCACAGATCTATACATTATTCAACATCTTGGAGGGGGGTTGGTGACGAAGTTTGTGTGTATGGGCAGAGCCATCTGTCAAACAAGTTGGAAAATACATAAAACTCAAAAAAAAAAAAAAAATCTCATTGCCATTGAGTTGGATCCAACTCATAACGACCTTTCCTTGGGTTTCTGAGGCAGTATCTCTGCAGAAGTAGATTGCCCAACTTTCCTTCTGAGGAGTGGCTGGTGGGTTTGAACCACCAGTCTTCTGGTTAGCAGTCAAATGTGTTTGGCACTACACTATCAGAGTCTAGGAAGTTAATACTGTTTGTCAAAAGTCACTGTCACCTTTCTTTGCATTCATACAATGAAAATAGAAGAATTGTTATCAAGATATTTTCTACTGAAAAAATGTTATGTGTGTAATCAAAGAAACTTCAATAAAGGAAGAGAAATACGAAACTATGTCCAAAATCATATGTTAAAATATCTACATACACCAGGTGGGAATTTGATTAAGAAAACCAATTCAAGGAAGAACATAAAGAACTCTTCACCATAGGAAAAGAAGTAAAAGAGAAGCCAAGCTTCAAAATGTATAATCTAGAGAAAGGAAATCTTTATCTATCTATCTATCTATTTGTTTTAGTTATTCAAGTAGAGAGTAATACAAACTGTTACAGAAATGAATTTCCCCCAAAGAAATAGACCAAATTGTCCATAAAAAATTAAACAAAGCACAGAAGGGTATCTCACATTACAGAACATAAATGTTTCTTGAAATTTTCTTTTTAAATGAAAAAAGAGATGTACTCAAAAAACTTATTAATATCATACTTGTTGATAGACAATTTTTTAAAAAACTAGGGTTCTAAGGAATTGAGTTGCTGTTCACAAGCTGACCAACAGGATTTTCACATTGCTTTTCCATCTCCTTTATCCTGCATCATCACTGTGCTTCATAAAATCCTTACTTATTGACTGAAGCATATTGTAGAGATTTCCTTTAAAAAGGTGGTATTTATTTTGTTTGCAATATTTTTCTGTTGCTCAACATAATAGCTCACTAAAATAAAACACTGCTGCAGGATAAAAGCCAAATTTTTAATAATAATAACCCACTTGTTTGTGCTGTAGGAATTGGATTTATTTAAGCCAGAATTCAACCATTTCTAAAGAGATACCAGTACCTTAGTTGCTAAGTTATCTTATATAGGAAGCACCATGAGCATTGTAAGTTAAATTATATTTTCTTTTAAATATGACTAGATTTAAATAGTAATGGGATCTTTTTATATCACTCTTATCAAAGACTCTTCATAAAAACCCTGAAGGGAAGGTATTCTGAGACTCTTTTTTGTCCAGTCATGAATCTAACAGTGGCTAGAAGTGGTTTCTATGGCCATGACGGCTGACTTGGAGGGCAATGGCACCTCCCCCTATTTCTAGTAGGATTGAGTTGAGAGAAAAATAACTCTGCATCTAATGTTACCAATACCCCCCAGTTACCATCAACTCTATTCCTACTTGTGGTTAGAAACCCATGATATAGTCATCTAAAAAGAAAAATACTAAGAGGTCTCTCCTCTTTTCCCCTTTAGCCAACACACACACACACACACACACACACACAACCCTCCACAAACCACAACTACTCATTTGTTGAATATAGAGAGTTTACAATTTTAGCAACTTGTACCAAAACATTACATTAACACAGAGACTCCCAAAGGAATAGTTCTAACAGCTTCAGAGTTAGCATGTACATTAATCTAAGTCAGTATTCATCTTATTTAAGACACATTAACTTTGCCTTGTTGAAGCAAAGACTATTACAAATCCAATGACAGTCATGAATTTGAGCATGTAAACACTGAACTGACAGCTCTCTACCAAGAAACAAACCATTAATTTACTTACAGCAAGTTGCTGGGTCCTCATCACTCCTGTCTGAGCAGTCCTGTGGAGCATCACAGAGTAATTCCTGGGCAATGCACTGGCCAGTATCACAAGTGAACTCATCTGCAGAGCAAAGCTTTCTGGATTGGGCCTGTGCACAAGCATAGACCCAGAGGCTATCGAGACCAATAAAACTTCTTTGGCTCAAAAGAACCCCTTCAAAAATAATCTTCGGGGAAAAAAAGTAAAAACGTTATAAGCTTATAATCACTTCAAAAAAGAACAACAACAAAAAATCCTGAAGAATTAGAATTGAATTTAACTAGAGAAAAACAACTGGTTTCTTTAAAGAATCAAATATATCTAGAAATAAAATTTATACTTGACATGACTGACCCACAATTAGAAGAATGATGGACACATTAGCTCCACTAAGCCTTCTGGAAAACCATAAAGGATCACATAAAATATTGCGTGAGCTTAATCATCTACAATACCCTTGACTGCTACTTTGTTACATGGTCATGATTTTCACAGCTCTCTTCAATTTTCAAGAAAAAGATAAGCATTATCTTTACTCATAAAACAGGAACTATAACTTCATCTGAGTTTTTATCTACTGAAAATAATATTTGAATACATAATAGGAAAAATGAGGCAAACAACTGGGCACAATATAGAATATATACTTTAAAAAGGACAAATATAAAACATTTATTAAACTTGCCTAAAATAATAATTTCTCCAATCAAAGTAGTGCTGATTAAAGGAAATAAATCACATTCTCTCTGATCAAACTGCCAGCTTCTTTTAAGGTATGAAGTACTAGCAAGTCCAACAACCATGCACTGCTAGTCTAACATGAGACAGTTTCAAAGTATTAGTATTCCTTGAGGCTCTGCCAAGAACAATGGTTAGTTAGCATCAAGGTGAAGGAGTAGAATAAATAGCTGAGTGTATGGCTGAGGAGCAAGGATATCTCATTGAGGACTAAGATGCGCCTGACACAAGCCATGATATTTCCAATCACCTGGTATGCATGTGAGAGCTGGACAATGAATAAGGAAGACCGAAGAAGAGTTGATGCTTTTGAGTTGTGGTGCTGGCGGAGAATGCTGAAAGTACCGTGGACTGCTAAAAGAACTAACAGATCTGTCCTGGAGGAAGTGCAGCCAGAATGCTCCTTGGAAGCAAGAATGGCCAGACTTTTTCTCACCTATTTTGGTCATGTTGTAAGAAGGGACCATTCCCTGGAGAAGGATGTCATGCTTGGTAGGGTGGAGGGTCGACGAAAGAGGGGGAGGCCTTCAAGGAGATGGATTGATACGGTGGCTGCGATGATGGGATCAAGTATAGCAGGGATTGTGGGGCTGGCGCAGGAATCGGGCAGTGTTTCATTCTGCTGTGCATGGGGTCGCTATGAGTCGGAAACGACTCGACGGCACTTAACAACAACATAACAACAACATGGCAAGTAACTAATTCTTTCTTATCCGATATGGTAGTCACTGTTCACATAAGGCTGTTTTTCAGTGTAAGTTAATTACATTAAAATTAAAACTCAATTTCTCAGTCATACCAGCCACATTTAAAATATTTAATAGATATATGTGGCTAGTGGGTATGTTAGCACAGATATAGAACATTTCTATTATTACAGGAAGTTCTATTAAACTGCACTGAACTAGATGGTACTAAATTTCAAGCAAGACACTGGGAACAGACTCCTTTTAGTTAATTCTACTTTAAAGTTTCTGAAAAGATTTTTCGGATTTTCAAAACTCTGGGCAATATGTATTTGTTTGTTTGTTTGTTAAAAGTTTTCAACTATAGTTAACACTTTAGTCTACAAAATAATGTTACATCTAAATAATGTCTCATATTAAGAGAAACTTTACACACTGTTGTATAGCTTCCCCATAATGAATATCTTATCTATCTATAATATGTATGATACCTATATATTTTCATAGCAGCAAGAGATAAGACACACAAATATAGCAGTTTGGGTTTCAAAATTCATGAAATTAAACTTAGGTTTCAAAAGCTGACCATTATCGAAAAGTTTATTACATTTACTACAGACTTGGAAACCTAAGATAGCTTCCAATTTCATTTATTGATTTCTACCTTTTATTTTGATTTTATCTTTGGGTGAAATAACAAAAGAAACTAATCCTTGATATTTGTTATTGTCAGGGGCCAAGGAATTGGCTCTGACTCACAGCAACACTATGGATAGTAGAACAAAACATTGCTTGGTCCTTCACCATATTCACAATCCCTTCTATACTTGATCCCATTGTTGCAGCCACTATGTCAATCCAAACTGTTGAAAGTCTTCTCCTTTTTTGCTAACCTTCCACTGTATCAAGCATTAAAACTTTCTCCAGGGAATGGTCCCTTGTGACAAAATGACCAAAGCCGATGAAACAAAGTCTGGCCAGACTCTCTTCCAAGGAGCATTCCTGCTATACTTCTTCCAGGACAAATTTGTTCACTCTTCTGGCAGTTCATGATATTTTAGTATTCTTTGCCAACACCATAATTCAAAGGCATCATCAGCTCTTCTTTGGTCTTCCTTATTCATTGTCCAGCTTTCCCAGGTATATGAAGTGACTGAAAATACCAAGCTTGAGTTAGGTGCACCTTAGTCTTCAAAGTGACAACTTTGTTCTTCAACTCTTTAAAGAAGTCTTTTATAGCAGATTTGTCCAGTGGAATACAATGTCTGATTTCTTAACTGCTACTTCCGTGGGTGTTAATTGTGGATACAAATAAAGTGAAATCTTTGACAACTTCAATCTTTTCTCCATTTATTGTGATACTGCTTATTGGGCCAGTTGTGAGGACTTTCATTTCTTTATATTTATACTTCATATAGTCCAGCTTCTCAGATTATTTGCTCAGCATACAGACTGAATAAGTATGGTGAAAAGATACTACCCTAACACACACTGTTCCTTACTTTAACCATACAGTATCCCCTTGTTCTGTTTGAAACAGTCTCCTGGTCTGTGTACAGACTTCTCATGAGCACAGTTAAGTGGAATTTCAGGAATTTCCATTCTTCTTGATGTTATCCACAATTTATTATGATCCACAGAGTCAAATATCTTTGCATAGTCAGTAAAACACAGGTAAATTTTTCTGATATTCTTTTCTTTCAGCCAAGACCCATCTGACATCAGCAATGATATCACTTGTTCCATGTCCTCTTCTTAATCCAGCTTGCATTTCTGGAAGTTCTCTGTCAATATACTGCTGCGACAATTTTTTAGTTATCTTCACCAAATTTTACTTGTGTGTGATATTGATGATTTTGGTCAATAATTTCTATATTCTGTAGGATCACCTTTCTTTAGAATGGACACAAATATGGATCTCTTCCAGTCATTGGCCAGGTAGCTGTCTTCCAAATTACTTGGCATAGACGAGTAATTATCCCCAATGTTCCATCTGTTTGTTGAAATATCTCAATGGGTATTCAGTCAATTCCTGGAACCTTGTTTTTTTGCCAATTCCTTCAGTGCTGCTTGGATTTCTTCCTTCAATAACACTGGTTCTTGATCATATGCTACCTCATGAAATAGTTGAACATTGATCAATTCTTTTTAATACAGTGACTTGGTGTATTCCATCCATCTTATTTTGATGCTTCCTGCATCATTCATTATTTTGTCCATAGAATTCTTCAATATTGCAACTGGAGGCTTAATTTTTTTCTTCAGTTCTTTCAAGCTTGAGAAATGCCAAGCATGTTCTTCTCTTTTGGTTTTCTAACTCCAAGTATTTGCGTATTTCATTTTAATACTTTACTTTGTCTTCTTGAGCTATGCTTTAAAATCTGTGTTTGGCTCTTTTGTCATTTCTTCCATTTGCTTTAGCAATTCTCCATTCAAAAGCAGGTTTCACAGTCTTTTATGACATCCACTTTGGTCTTATTTCACTGTCTCTTTAATGATCTTTTGCTTTCTTCATGTATGATGTTCTTGATGTCATCATACAACTCATCTGGTTTTGGTCACTGGTGTTCAATACATCAAATCTATTCCTCAGATGGTCACTAAATTCAGGTGGAATATAATCAGGGTCATATTTTGCCTCTCTTGGTTTTGTTTTAATTTTCTTCAGCTTCAAGTTGAACTTGCTTATGAGCAAGTAATGGTCTGTTCCACAGTCAGCTCCTGACCTTGTTTTGACTGATGATATTGAGCTTCTCCATTGTCTCTTTCCACAGATGTAGTTGATGTGATTCTTATGTATTCCACCTGGCAAGGTCCATGTGTATAATTACCATTTATGTTGTTGAAAAAAGTACTTGCAATGCATAAGTTATTGGTCTTGCAGAATTCTATCATAAGGTCTTCTATCACCAAGGCCATATTTTCTAACTGCCCATGATTCTTCATTTCCAACTTTCAGATTCCAATCATCAGTAATAACCAATACATTTTGATTGCACATTTGGTCAATTTCAGACTGCAGAACTTGGCAAAAATCTTGAATTTCTTCATCTCTAGCTTTTGTCTTGATGCATAAGTTTGAATAGTAGTAGTATTAACTGGTCTTCCTTGTAGGTGTATGGATATTATCCTATCACTGACAGCACTATACTTCAGAATATGTCTTGAAAGGTTCTTTTAGACGATGAGTGTGATGTCATTCCTCTTCAACTGGTCATTCCTGGCATAGTAGACCATATGGTTGTATGATTCAAAATGGCCAAAAACAGTCCATTTCAGCTCACTAAAGCATAGGATACTAATCTTTATGCATTCTATTTCATTTTTGACAACTTTTAATTTCCTAGATTCATATTCATACATTCCATGTTGTGATTATTAATGGATGTTTACAACTCTCTTTCCATTTTGAGTTGTGCCACATAAGCAAATGGAGGGTTTGAAAGCTTTAATCCATCGAAGTCATTAAGGTCGACTCTACTTTGAGGAGGCTAGCTATTCCTCAGTCATATTTTGAGTACCCTCCAACTTAAGGGGCTCATCTTCTGGCACTGTATCATACAATGTTTCAGGACTATTCATAAAGTTTTCCAGTAACATATCAGACAGTTTTTCACTGCTATTCATAAGGTTTTCACTGGCCAATAATTTTGAGAAGAGTATGGCTTCTTCCTTTTTTCCAAATCTATCTCAACCTGGAAGCTCCACTGAATCCTGTCCACCATGGTGGAGCCCACTGGTGTTCAAAATACCAATGGCAAAGCTTGCAGCCTAACAGCAGCACACAAGCCACCACAATATAACAAACTGACAGACAAGTGGTGGGATTTTCAATAGTTATTGTTGTTAGGTGCTGATGAGTCATCTCCAACTCATAGCAACCCTTGCACAGTAGAATGAAACACTGCCAAGCCCTGTTCCAGCCTCACAATCGTTGTTATACCTGAGCCCATCATTGGAGCCACTTTGTCTATCCACCTCCTTGAGGGCCTTCTCCTTCTTCATTGACCCTCCACTGTACCAAGCATGATATCCTTCTTCAGGGCATGGTACCTTCTGACAACATGACCAAAGTCTGGCCATTCTCACTCCCAAAGAGTATTCTGGCTGCACTTCCTCCAGGAGAGATTTGTTAGTCCTTTTAGCAGATGATGGTACTCTTAGCATTCTTCTCCAATACCACAACTCAAAAGCATCAACTCTTCTTCAGTCTTCCTTATTCACTGTCCAGCCCTCACATGCATAAGAGGTGAATGAAAATGCCATGGTTTGGGTTAGGTGTACCTTAGCCTTCAAGGAGACATCTTTGCTCTTCATCTGAAAGAGGTCTCTTCCAGCAGATTTGCCAAATGCAATACATTGTCTGATGCCTTAACTGCTGTTTCCATTGGTGTTGATTGTTGTTGTTGTTGTTATGTGCCGTCGAGTCAGCCCAGACTCATAGTGACCCCTCCTTGGGTTTCCGAGGCAGTATCACTACGGAAGTAGGATTGCCCAACCTTCCTTCCGAGGAGTGGCTGGTGGGTTTGA